TGTGATTGTGACACCATTCATAAATGTGATACAATGTTCTCAATATTGAACCAAAAGGACAATCTATCTAACTAAATGTGTGTGTGCATTAAAGGATTTTCTTTTTTGATGTGTTTGTTTGCTCGAGGAATAGAAAATGGTTAATTTGGGGATATTTGACGAATGTGTCTTATTCATGAGTTTTACACAATTTTAATTTGATTATTTACTAAATCTTATGAGTATAGAACATTTTTGACGTATTTGTTAGTGATGTTTTGAAGATTAGGATATGTGGTGTAAAAAGGGTTACTAAAGTGGACAAAGACGTCAAAATCAAAGAAGTTGGAGCAGAAAGACAATGCTTATCATAGTGCCCAGGAGCTATAATAAATGAAAAAGAGCAGTTTGGATTAAAAAGGCAGCGCTTAGGTCCTGAACTCATAGTGCCCAGGCGCTACCGTTGGCATTTGGGTACCACACGCATAGCGCTTTGGCGTTACAGGGCATTCCTTCATGGCGCCTAAGTATTATTCCTAGTGCTTTGGCACTGCGCTGATTAGCATCTTTGGTGGTTTGTGGATTGCGGATGGATCATATGCTTTAATTGAATTTTCTATTTATCTATTTTGTGCATGACTATTAAGTTTTGCGTTGTACAGGAACATAAGGATTTATATGCATAGACTAAAAAGATGACTTAGGCACTTAATCCATTAACCCATGATTCCTAATATCGTTTAACCGTATACATTATAATCTGGGGTGTTCTAACCAATGAAAGAAATAATTTATCACTATGGTGATTCCGTACATGTGAAAAAAATTGTGTGGAGTGCCGTTGACTTTTTGATATAAGTTTGGTGATGACCGAATGCTAAGAATCTAACCTCTACAAATTTTGCTTCCATTTTATAGAAAATAAGCATTCCATTTATTTAGCTATGCCTCACACCTACACCTTTTTGACTCGAGTTATTAAGTCAGTAGGGAACTCTTGAAACCTAGTACCATTTGGTATTGAAAAAAATTAGGGAGTTATCGACTCAACACTAGCTACAGGGGTCAAGAATAGGAAAAAATGGTGAGATCAAAATTGAGTTAAAAAAGAAAATTATACAAGTGCGTAAAAGAATTGATTTTTGGGAGCCTAGATAATTATTGGGTTTGAATCACGAAGTTTAAACTAGATTATTGAAATGCTCATAAGTTGGGAGAATCATCAAATGAATAAATTGTTGATTTTGCTGGTTGAACTAAACCAAATTAGAATAGTGTGAGGAAATCATAAGTGAATCTAAACTTTAGAATTACAACATGGTGAGAGAATAAAAGAATATAAGTTTCGGGGTGTGTAAATCTCACGAGCAAAGAAAGGAAATAATTGACCATTGAGGACAGAGAAGTGAACCAACTGGTGAATCTACGACGTTACACTTGATCTTTCACACACACACACCAACTTTGCATTTAATAAGTGGAAGTTTGGTTCTTGTGTTGTGATTTTGGCATCATTCATAAATATGATATAATGTTCTTAATATTCAGCCAAAGGGACAAGCTATCTAACTAATTTTGTGTGTGTGTGTGTGTGTGTGTATCGTGCTTTCGTGATTTTCTTTTTTGATTTGTTTGTTTGCTCAAGGACTAGCAAATGGTTAAATTTGGGGGTATATGACGACTGTGTTTTACCCACCTGTTTTATACAATTTTAACTTGATTATTTGCTAGATCTTATGAGTATGTTCATCAGTCGACATGATCAACCTATTTACGTTCTACCAAATGTGAATACGTAATGGGATAAAAAAATTTGTCGACTGCCTGTAATCGCTCTAGGAATTTAGAGGGGCCAGTACACTAGGTGGTATGAGTAGTGGACGCAATGGTTGATTGACCACCTTGACTCCCAACCATCTAGACATTACCTTCATTGATTGAAAACCGCCTGACAGTTATCACATATTACTTTCTAACGACTTGGTGAAAATTGACCGCTAAGTGTGTGAGTGAAAATCACTTAGGCCCCGTTTGATTGCACGAAATTTTCCATGGAACTTAGAATTCGAATTCCAACTTCCAGTTTTGGCCTGTTTGATTGACAAAATTTTTCAAGGAATTGATTTTCCATGAATTTCTAGGTACAACACCTTAAAGCATGATTTTCCACTTTTTATTTTCCTAGGGGATAGGTAGTTTTTGGTTTTCCCCCTTTTTTTTTTTTTTTTTTTTGCTTTTTGTTTCTTTTTTTTTTTTTAATTGTTGGCAGTGAGAACAAATTCTATGAACAATTGTGAAAGATGATATCCCTGAAATTAACAATTTTCATATAAAACAAAGTGAAACGAACACCAAAATATAGATTATTTTTTTTTCTTTTTTTTTTTTTTTTGGTCAATGGAAACAAATTCTAGGAACAATGATAGAAGTGGATATTACTTAAATTGACAATTTTCATATAAAACAAAGTCAAACGAACACCAAAAAACACTTTTACTTCAACATTTTCCACGTGGAAAATTATATCAATCAAACACAATAATTTACAATTTCCAGAAAAACAATTTCTACGAAATTCAATTCCCTGAAATTTCATTTCTTTCCACCCAAATTTTATCTTCGCAATCAAACAGACCCTTAGAGAGTGGATGTTAACCACTAGACATGTGGATGAGAACCTCCTAGCAGTTACATGATACTAAGCACCTATAAATTCCTCAAAGACGTGCCAGGTATAGAGATTTTTTCCCTTGGACAATACTTATCTTGTTTTCTCTCGTTTATCAAGTCCTTTAACATTCATTTAAATTCAGTAACTAATTCTGACGCCTGAGACACAATGGGGGAAATAGCCCTAGGCTCTTCTTGTAGGTGTTACATTGTTCATCGAAATAACGGAAGCCGCCTTGCTTTGCCAAGGAAGCCAAAATGTTATCTTATTTTTACTTCACTCTGAAAACACACATTTGAATCAGTAGACCTTCTCATTTTCTTCACTTTACATTGAAATTTACATATATACATACATAACCAGAGAGATGGCGAGTGGTTGGAGGGAGAGAGAGCTGCAGTCAATGCACCACAGCTTGTGTGCGTGGTGGCATTGCTTCATAAGCCATGAGTGATCGTAATGATTTGGTGTAGCGGTATTGGAGAAGATATAATGTGATGCTGGTTGTGCGGGCTGCTGGTGGTGGGTTGATATGATGTGGGGATGGGGTAGGTTGAACACTAAGGTGTTTACATTTTATTTTTTGTATTTGTTTATTTTGTCCTCTCTCTCTCCTTTTTTTTTTTTTGCCGAATTTTATCTTAGGTTGACACATTATCCCTTTAAATGAAGTCTAAATAAGAGAAATTTCAATCCACGTGCAAATAAAAGGCTCTTCGGGCGAAATCCATCCGAAATGATCAATTGTGCCAAAACGAAAAAGTTTGGGACCATAATGTCAAGTTTGAAAGGTCCGGACCAACAACAGAAGATGCCCAGACATTTGGGATCATTTGTGATAATTTTCCTTTTCTTATCGAAAACGTGTAATTTTTTTTCGAAAAGACACTACTATCTATAGCATAGATCACCCCATTTTAATTGCATTTAAAATTATTTATCTTTGCTCATTATAACACCCGTGTCCTTAATGCATTCTTATATTCTACATTTGATTAATGAGCACATTTCGTCTCCAATAACGATTTCTATTCAAAAGGTCCATTGTGAGGGCATAAACGACCTATTTGTCCATCATTTCAAAATATATATATATATAAGCAACAAAATATCTTAATACCAATTTTAAAGCATGGAAATATAATATTTTGACATAAGGCATCATTAAGAATGAGATGTATTAATTAGAGGATGATTGAAAATATAATGCTAAATAAAATTAAGGATATAAGTGTAACAATAAATAAATAAAGGTTCAGATTTTAAATGTAATTAAAATGTAAAAGCAACTAATTAAAATTGTGTGAATGTAACTACCCTTCTCTTTAAAATTGTAAATAGATTGAAATTAGTGATAAATAGATGCTACTTGTGAATCCACTAAAATATATGATTGATAATAGAGTTAACCCCTTGTAAATAATTTACATATTTTGTCAAACGAGCCTCAATCATTAAGTTCGATAATGTTCTCCATAATTAATTTAAGGAAAAATTGCAGCTGATATTCCCAAACTTTTCAATTTACTGCAGACTATGTTCAAACCTTTCACTTCAACTGTGGCCAAAAGCCATTGGACATAATCCGTCCATTAATCCATTAGTCAACCCTGAAATTTGAAGTTTGACTCAACTTGACAATATAAATGAGGGGTAAAACGATCAAATCGCTATTCTCACTAAATTCCAAAATCCATACCATTTGTTTCCATCCTTTTTTTGCACTAAATTTGAAGAACCTTTCTCTCTATCTTCGAATCCAAATAGCAAATCCTCAGAAGCGTTCACAAGCATTAAATGAATGTATGTACAAGTTACATCCAACCACACCTTGACTATGTGAGCAGCAAATGAGAAATGGCCAGGGTTCAAGTTCAGCCACGAAGTTTTCATTTGAAGAGGGCTTCCACATCTACAGATATTCATTTTCATGGCTATGAACTCAATTTCTGAAGAATTGTGAAACGGATTCAAAGATAGCAAGATAGATTCATCTAATTTAGAGCTAAAAAATAAGGGAAACAAACGCTATGGAGTTTGGGGTTTAGTGGAAACGATGATTTGACCATTTTACTACTCATTTTGTCAAGTTGAGTCAAATTTTTAACTTTAGGGTTGACTAACGGATTAATGGTGAATTCTGTCCAATGGCCTCTAGCTACAATTGAAGTGAAAGATTTAGGATTGCAGCTGTAAAAATAAAAAGTTTGGGTATAGTCTGCAACAAATTACAGAACCTCCACTGCAAATTTTCCTTAATTTATTGATGATTCTTTAATTGAGTACTTGTGTAATGATAATGAGAATAATGAATATATTCTGTAATTACTACTTAGGACTAGAAAGAAAATGAGTACTAATATTACTTTTTCCATTCAAAGCTCTTGTACATATTCTCAGTCAAACTACCAGTATTATTTCAAACCTCATCTGACTTATTAATCAGAACAACAAGCCACTAGAAATCAAAATAATCAGTAGAGAAGAAATGAATATATGATCAAAACCTTACATGTACATAGGCAAACCAACATAGCTCTAAATCCTAAGAAGCAGCTTGTTGAGCATGGATTTGGCCCGGTGAAAATGAAAATAATTTAGGGTTAGCAAGAGATAGTCCCGTATTAGATGGAGTCATGCCGCCGGCAGAGGCAATAGCAGTGGTTGGAGAGGGGGCAGCGGTAGAAGTGGTGGTGGTGGATACTCGTTCACAAGAGGGACACATCGAGAGAGTTGTTGCAGGAGGCTGCATGTAGAAAGGTTGAGAGGCTTTTAGAGCTCTTAATTCTTGAAGCTCCTTCTGTAATCTCCTATTTTCTTCTGTTAACGTCTCACAGCAGCTCTTCAAATACTCACAATCTACCTCTGTCTGCTTCAACTTGGTCCTGCATGGAAATCATTGATTAGTGTACCAAACAATAATTGTTTCATTAAATTTTCACGAGAATCAAAAATTGTTTTCTGAACAGAAACATTAATTAATTTTTTTGAAACACCCAGTACCTAGCTCTTCTGTTCTGGAACCACACTTCTACTTGGCGAGGACGAAGATTCAACTGCTTTGCTAGAGCTTGCTTCTGTTTCTGCAAATATCAATAAAGAGACATCTTAATCAGTTAAAATCCGACTACAATCCATATGCTGCATGAAATATAAACCGTTCACACACACACACACACACACACAGATGGAGATTGTTAAACACAAAATCCTACTTCCATGAATAAGAAACATACAAGGCTTGGGCTACTCCAATATAGCAATCTGATTCATCTAAAGCTTAAACAAACATCGAATTTCAAGATTGGTGTGCTCCAACGAGCCACCATCTTATATAGCACGTTAAGGTAAAATCTCTAATCGATTATCATAATAATATATGACTAGGACCTTTTATTATGGAACCTAAGATTTTACCGACAAAAATCATAGTTCACAACAAAAGAGACAAGAAAACATCATAGTATATTATGCTTACTGGGTTGAGAGTGCTTTGTTCTTTAAAGCTTTCTTCAAGAAAAGCAGATTGTTCTTTAGTGAGTCTGAGTTTTTTCCTGGCCATACTATTTTCTTCGTCGTCACTTGCCCTTGAAGAAGCCCCTCCTCTATCAGCATCACCTTCAAGTGTTACAGTTTCAAAATCTCTTTTTCCCCTTCCATTTCTGTAGATTGAAAAGTCCATCTGAAATGATGAGACTGTGCTATTTGGAGACGAAATAGCCATGGCTTCTTCAGCCTCCTCCACCCCTCCAATCCTCCGGTTCACGTTTCCTGGTTCACCAACCACTGCACGAAACAGAAAAATCTCGAAAGATTAAGACCTGTGAAGAAAAAAAATTAAACCAGTAATCTTAAATCTGCATAAAAAACAGAAATTTCTAGACTATGACAAAGACCAAAGAACTTTACAATTTTCGTTCAACCATGAAAAATGAAGCTTATCGAACGAAGTTTGATTCCGAGGAACAGGAGAGAAAGGCAGAAGGTCAAGCTGAATCGGTAGATCTGAATCTAATGAAACTTTGCCTCCGGTATCAGCTTCAGCACTTTTCTCGCCAAAAGCCATGCAGAACCCTAAATCATTCCCAGCAATCTTCTGTGATTTATCAAGAAATGTGAATGGCTTAGGTGTTTCCCCCAAACTCAAAGCCAAATCCATCTATATTGAGAGAGAGAGAGAGAGAGAGAGAGAGAGAGAGCAGAAGAGAGATAATAAATTTTGATGGAAACGGTTTATGGATTAAAGGGAACCCATCCCAGAGAATTTAAAACAAGTCCACTGATTGAAATCTTGAATAGACTAAAGAAAAATAAAAATGAAAAATCTTACAGCTTCATCTGACAAAGTGCTTTTAATATGATTTGGCTTTATGCAAGTAAAGGTTGACAGGAAATCCAGGGTTGACAAAGCGCACGTGAATTCACATAATTATACAGTGGTTCATACAAGACTCTGCTAGAGTGTCTTGTAAGGAACAAGCGACGACAATCTGTCTAAACAATAATGTCCATGTTTTGTAAAGATTCGCCCCTAACTTCATTTTGAATCGTACATTTTTTAAAAATATAATTTTTTATAAAATTTATTTTTAAAAAATCTACAGACATTCTTGTATTTACTTTTATATTTCTAGACCATACATTATATATACATATTGAGAAACAATATTCTATACACTGGTACTTAATTTATGCCCTTGTTTGAGTCTCATTTTTTTGGGAAGAATGAATTTTTGAATAGTGTATTGATGGAAAATGTGTGATTAAAAAATAAGAAAAAGTTTTGAATTTGCGTGTAATATTATTTTATTGAAGAATGTATGATTGAAATGATGTCTAAATACTGTTGAAAAATATATTTTTCCAAAAGAATAGGGTTCAAACAAGAGCTATACTAATAATTGGTAATATGACATGTCAATTAATCAATAGATAATTTAATTTCTGAAATTTAACATTAACATGTCATGTCATTAGGGTGTGTTTGAACCCCATTATTTGACATTATAATGAGATGAATAATGTTTTTTTAAAAAATGAGTGGTTAAAATTTTTTTGATTTACGTGTAATATTATTTTATTGAAAATTGTGTGGTTAAAAGTAAGAGAGAGAAAATTTTAATTTAATATAATGAGAAATAATGAGCTCTAACGGGGGCTTAATGTGTAACTTGTGATAAGCACCAAAAAAAAAAAAAAAACCATTTCTCTACAAATAAATATATATTAATTATAATGAAAGTATTGTTATATCTTGCATAGAATGGTGGAATACACAAAAAGCAACGTTTAGCTAGATGATTTGTGACACTAAAAAATTTGTTCCCCTTTTGTGAAAACTTTGGTGAAGTTCACGAAGGAATTCATAACAGCATTATTAAACTTAATTTATTTTAATTGTATTATTAGTCTTCAATTTATGACGTTGTTCTCAAATTAATAAGTATTAATAACTTCTATCATGCAGTAATCAGACTTTACATGTAATTCTTGTGTGACATATCAACTCATTACTATATCACGCTATAAAAGTGTTAAAATAAAAACAAAGCTCATATATTAACAAAAGTAAATCTAAGGACATTGACAATGATGCTTATTTTACATTTTTCGTTTTTAATGTGACATGTAGAAATTAAGTAGAAGATCATTAATGATATGACAACCAATTAAGTAATTTTTGTCAGTTTGGGGACAGAGGCGGAGCTAAGAAATTTGTTCAGTGCGGGCATAATTTAACCCATGTCCAACATTGTGTTTTTGTCATGAATTTAATGATGATAAAACTATGAAACAAAATCATGGGTTTGGGCCTAAAAATAAAACCCGTGTAAATTAAAACATTTTTTTTTATTCCACCTCCCCTGTTGCTTAATAGAAAAAAAAAATTGTTTGGACCTAAAATTTCAGTGCGGGCATATGCCCGCACTCGTCTCAACGTGGCTCTGGCCACTGTTTGGGGATGAAATAAAAACAAAGCTAATATATTAACAAAGTAAAATTTGAAGCCAAATTAAAATATGCTTATTTTACATTTTTCGTTTTTAATGTGACATGTAGAAATTAAGTAGAAGATCATTAATGATATGACAACCAATTAAGTAATTTTTGTCAGTTTGGGGACAGAGGCGGAGCTAAGAAATTTGTTCAGTGCGGGCATAATTTAACCCATGTCCAACATTGTGTTTTTGTCATGAATTTAATGATGATAAAACTATGAAACAAAATCATGGGTTTGGGCCTAAAAATAAAACCCGTGTAAATTAAAACATTTTTTTTTATTCCACCTCCCCTGTTGCTTAATAGAAAAAAAAAATTGTTTGGACCTAAAATTTCAGTGCGGGCATATGCCCGCACTCGTCTCAACGTGGCTCTGGCCACTGTTTGGGGATGATATGATATGTGCCAGAATGCCATAAGATGGTAAAATTTGAAGCCAAATTAAAATTCTATTACTAAATTGAGACCAAAAAAAAAAAAAAAAAAAAAAAAAAAGGAAAAAAAGGTTAAATGGCTCAATTGAGATTTCGCTAAAAATTCAATAACAAAATATGAAAATTACCCTTATTATTTTGACACTTATATTATTTCAAATAATTTACTCAAAAATAAAGGTTACAATGATTTTTGATTAATGATTGAAGTGAGGACATGAAAGCTTGGATATATAAATTATAAATGACGTTAAGTATTATATAAACAGTTGAAATGCCATCTTTTGGTTTGTCGGAATATTACACATTGACAAATCAACATTAAACACACACAATTGTATAATTATATATAATCATGCAACCTAATTAATGATAATTTCTTTTTGTCAAACAACAAAGTATCGATCTATTTAGGATGTTTAAATGACACAATCTTACACAGGAAATTGCAAAAATAGTAATACGACAGATAGTTTTGTTCGAATAAGTCGTCTGTGTCGTCCAGTGTCACGGACGAATAGCAAAACCCTTCTACTGTTAAGACTTAGGTTCCTTCTTAGAAGGTCAACCTTATTAAGAAGAGTAGTCTATGATCTTTTTAAATTGGTTAATATTTCGGTATTTAACCGATATGAGATTTTTATCCCTTAATATGCCCTTACAAGATGGTGGTTCGTTTGAGCAGACTAATCTTGAAATCCGCGTTCTCATTTTTAGAGTTTTAATCGGATCGAATTGCTCTTTAGAATTTAATGGGCCCTGATACCATGTTAAGACTTATGTTCTATCTTAAAATGTCAACTTTATTAAGAGAAGTAACTCAAAATTTTTTTAAATTGAACAATATTTCGATATTTAATCGATGTGAGATTTGTTTGCTACTCCAAGAAATAGTATTGCCGAGTTTGACTCGTGTTATGTTTCTAGAAGTAGTAAAGAATTAAGAAATAACATCGGTATGGTATCCTATGATTGATTGTATGAATCAAAATGTTTTCCTGCAATTATTGCATTTATGGGGAGTGTACTAAAGACTTGGTGAGCCTGGGCCCTGTTTGAATTAATGATGAGTGAACGCGCATGGTGTGGCTTTTGAAGAAAGGGTTTACCCACACACAGATGAGATGAGTGGGTCAGATGGTGTCATGCTTTTGGGATCATTGCAATTATTGAAGCATGCAACATTTAATCATAAGTGTGATAACTTAGAAACAGAATAATTATTAAACAATATACTCATCCACTAAGAAATGTGCGTTGATATCGATATGAATAATTTTATCTAACATTAAATTTGATGAACATAAGTACAACATATCATAAATTCTATTATATGAGTCGTAATTCTTTATATTTAATTGAATCGATAATTTGATGTCACTTATGCAATCACATCAATTGTGCTAAATAGCATTTTTTTTTTTTATCAATTTAAGTAATCTAGTTTAATTGTGAACATTCACCCAAATTTATTCATTTATTCATTGAGAGAGTAATGTTATTTATCACAACTTGTGTCAAACGCCAATCTAGTTGATAATTGTACAACATTAAATAATAGATCCACTTAAATACATTATCACATGATTCATTTAATTGAACATATTAAGTGTGGTAAATTAGACTGGTGCTATAACACCAATGTGCTATGTAACATTATTATAATTGATTTGTCATATTACTGTTGCTTAGCATAAACATTACTTTGCCCGTGTTTGAGTTTTATTCTTTAAACTCATTTTCAATTAACATTTTCTCAATAAAATAATTGTGTATGTTAATTCACAAATTTTTCCTACTTTTGAACCATACATTTTTCAATATATTATTTGTTATAAAATTTACTTTTAAAATAGATCATTCCTTATCTGTATACACGATTACTACTAATGAATCATGAAGCTTCAAGATATAGATATAAGATTAATAACATTTTCCTTCTTTAGCAAATGAAATTTTAAATATGCATTTAGGCAAATTTTCTTGATGTATGAAAGTTCATGCATGTCACGATAGATTTAGAAATTAACTCATGGTTCTAATTCGGTTAATCGGACTTGAACGTGGTTTTGAGGATACCATCCCTATTTGTCTTCCATTCTTTCAAAAATATTTTTTTTCTACATATTCATTTTTAAACATACATTCGCACAATAAAATATTTTATATATAAACCCAAAACTTTTCCTTACCTTTTAACCAAATATTCTCCAAAAATTCACTATTAAAAACAAAGTTTTTCCAAAATAATGGCCACCAAACAAGGGCTAAATTATAGATTTGGAAGTCGGACTATCTTTTCTTCTATTCCACCTATCCATTTTTCTTTTTTTTTTTTTTTTGTGAAATTTGGTTTCTTTTTCTTGGATGCTCATGGTAGGTTGATTTATTCATTTTACTTTTATTCATAATTTCTTTTAATTAGAAATTTGGAAAAGTGTTAGTCATACTGTTTAAGCAGTTCAGCCCCTAAAATGATATGGTCATGTTCGTAGTTTTTCAATCCCACATGGCTTGAAACTGTCCCAACACTCAAACGTAATGGAAAACTGCCTGTAATCGTTGTTTCATGCCTCCATCATGTCTGAAATTACACCTCTATTCATGGACTGAAATCAGTTGTAAAACAAGGTCTCATTGTTACAGAACAATTGCCCACATCAATTCATCGATCAATACCAATTTCGACCTGCGTCCCGCATTTCATGCAATGTGGCCATCAAGTAAATTCAGCACATTCCAAAACCAACCCGAATGTCTTACTTAATTTCTACTGGATGTACGCATTGTTCGAACATCCAGTACGCCTTCGGCTTGAAAACCCCAAAATAACTAACAAACAGAGGGAGTGAAATGGTTTTCAATACTTTTTTGAATGCCCACATCA